ATATCTAACACATCTGGATATCTCTTCACACGGCTGATTACACTTTAAACTCTTATCAGCCAGCTATCATTACCAGGTCATGATACTACATGTAGACTGCAACAAATTAGAACCGAGATATCTCTAGTCTGTGCACCTGTTCACACCAATTCACAAGCAAATGTTCAGAGTTATTTGTGAGCAGTCAGGTAATTTGTCTATTTCCTTCTTATTATCGATATTCTCTTTCTTGGCTTCTCTGCTATTTTCTTCTGTAATGATGATACCTTCTTGGCTTACATGTACGTTCTCATTCTGAAGCATATTTTTCTTTTATCTTCTTCTCCTTCCATTTTGTTGTCTTTTCATTTAATTTTCTTCCTTTTTCCTTCTTTGTTCCTTCTGATTTCCTTCTGTTTTTTCTGTGTCATTCTCTCATTTTTTTTACTCTTCTTTTTTACCATCTTCCTAATTTGCAATCTCCTATTAAAGCTTCTTTTGATCTATACAATTCTCCATCTTCTGCTTTTCCTCTTTTTATTCCTTCTTCTATTTCTTAAACAAATGAAACATATGCAACATACACGTAATACTTGAAGTCGCAAAAAACAAATTTGAAAGTCAATTTGTCTTCAAAGCACATCGATAGAAGCCACAGGGTACATGTACATTGTAGCAGGGGTGATAGTGAGCACTAAAAAAAAAATAGGTTTTTCGTTTTCCCCTTAACCACGCCCCCCTTGAGTAAAAAAAAAAAGAGGATTTGCGGGGGAAAATGCATCTAACAACATTCCCCCTTTCGAGTAAGAAAATTGGGACAAAATTGGGGGAAAAATAGGGCAAAATAGGGCAAAATAGGGAAGAATTGAGAAAATAAGAGGGAAATCGGGAAAATCAGGATAAAATAGGGAAGAAGAAAAAAAATTGGTAAAAAAAAAAAAAATTGGGAATTTTTTTTAAAAAATCAGAAAACCGATTTAAATCAGGTTTTTATCAGGCCTGAGTAGGTCTAAAGAAAGATAACCTTGTGAGATTATGTAAGACAAACCTTGCGGTTTCATCTTCACGTTCAAATCCTAATGAAACATGATGAAACAATCAAGAACAGTCAAAAACTCAAAGGAACAAAATACACCATTGTAGAAGTCCTGACATCAACAAATCAAACACTACTCAACGAAACAAGAACAAACTCTAAAGTCAACTCTGCTTTGAGCCAGGATGGAAGAATAACCACACTGCCAAAACAACAAAAAGAACAGAAAGATGGTAACCCAAACGGCATTGCAATTAGTCTTGCCTAAACAGCCCTAAAGAAAAGCCATACTCTTCTAGTCTTCTGTATGAAGAGAGAGAAATCATTTTCTGCCTATCTCTTTGTCTTACTTACCGGTACATGGACAGTAGCTGACACAGGTGTGGTAAGTACTCTACAGGAAGTACTTTGTGACGTTTCTTAAATGTATTGAGTGACATGTACATATAGTTCAGAGCTTAATAAAGAGTTGTCGGTCAATTCATCATCAGCCATTTATAAAGAGTTTTTTAAAGGAACTTTAGTACTTTTATTGTACTATTTGTCATTTTGTAATCATTTACTGTACATGCTTGTACAGTAAATATGTGCATGTACAATTAAACTGTATGGTCTATAATTGTTTTTTTGAATATTGTTGATCTTGTGCTATGATTACTTACTTTAATATACACGTACATGTAGGTCAGTGAAAACAGAATTCCTGTGATTCTCATGTAGGCAATTCAATGACAATTAGCTTAATATCAACATTGTTCTTGAAGTATAAACTTCACAATTTTCCCCCTACAGTGTAATTATTTCAAATTTGTGTGGTTTGCCATTTGGAAGGAAAATTAAAAAAATTATGACTATTTTCTGAAGGATGACTCAAGATAGAAAGTAAGATGACAAGGGCCCCTCACGAAGGAAGAGAGTAAAAGAAAAGGATTTTAGGATCAAAGATGCATCAAGAGATATGCCTTGGGTGCAATTCTTGTCAGGAAAGAGGGACAAAGCGAGGGGAAATACTTCATTTTCGTAAATAAATGAGGGAAACGCCAAAAGAAATCTCTAGTGAAAGAACCGACGCTCAGTTTGACGATTCACTTCCTCATCCATGTAAACTACATGTAGTACTCCAGAAACCTTGCTGAGGTAGAACTACATGTACACGTAGTAATAATAACGATAATCTTCATAATCTTAATGTAAACATGTACACTGTACATGAACATCAATATCTTTCTATTCTCTCACATTTAGACACTGATGTGTTCTATGGAGTTGACATTTAAATTGTAAATAGAAGAAAAAAGCATAGCCTCGGTAAATCTCGCACAATTTCGCTTCAAATGAATCTTATTTATACATGTAGAAAGGACTCTTTTATTTCTTCAGGGATGGGGAAAGGAATCCATCTCATGGTCAACTTAAAGGGAGTGTAGCCTGACAAGACTGTGTCTTTCTCGTGGCCCGACTCTGGGCCAATTGGGTATACATGTAATTATACGACAATGGAAGATGCGACTGTAGCAATCACGTGCGTGCAACATACGCAAAACGGAAGCGTGAGTAGAACTTCGGTCTGTTTCGCGAACGCTGACCATGAAGAGATTAAGCAGCTGACGTCCGACTACCGTTAATCAAGTCCTTTCGTTTACGTGCAGTTGACCAAAAGAAGTAGTGAACATTTTTTGTTTTTTGCACCCCCCCCCCCCCCCCCCCCCCCCCCCCCTGGATCCGCCACTGGTCCTATCTGTTACATTTAAACATTAGCAGTGTCCTAATATTCAAATTATGCAAGGAAACCCGTTTACTTGCTAGACTTCACTGTCAGACACTATTGTCAGTATTGAGTGACTGACTGGCTTTTGCTTCTTCTTTGGTAATAACATAATATAAAATGAGCTGTAAAGGATTTGTCTACATCAATAACCCACTTCTTGTTATGGCCAAAACTAAACTGATTGAATCTTTGCGCAGCATAAAACGTACGACCATGCGGTACAATGGTCTGAAAATCAAGACTATTACTTATTGGATCTATAGCTCCTAAGTCGATTTGACAACTACATGTAATAGTCGTTATTTTCCCACTTACATGTAAAGACATTTTCAAGCCCCATTTTGTTAAGGGGAGTTCTAAATTGGTATTATCTTTCAAATGCCATTGGAATTTAACCTTTTCATTTTTTTGGCCTGCAAAAGGGACATAGTACCTTTAATGTGTGTACTTTTTGTTGATAATTTGATATGCATTGTATCACTTACATGTACATGTAGTTTGGGTACTTTAAAGGTACTATGTCCCATTTGCAGGCCCAAAAAATGAGAAAATTAAATTCCAACTGCATTTGAAAGATAATACTAATTTAGAACTTCCCTAAAAAAAGGTGGGGCTTGAAAATGTCTTCAAATGGGAAAATAACGACTATTAGTTGTCAAATCAACTTTAGGGCTATAGAGCCCAAAAGTAATAGTCTTGATTTTCAGACAATTGTACCGAATGGCCATACGTTTTATGCTGCGCAAAGATTCAATCAGTTTAATCTTGGCCATCACAAGAAGTGGGTTATTGATGTAGACAAATGCTCATGTACCCTTTACAACTCTTTTCATGTATGTTATTACCAAAGAAGAAAAAAAGCCAGTCAGTCACTCAATAGTGTCTGACGGTGAAGTCTAGCAAGTAAACGGGTTTCCTTGCATAATTTGAATATTAGGACACTGTTAACATTTAGATTTCACAGATAGGACAAACATGACATATTCATAATTCCTGCAAAGTTCTACAGCATTTGAGGTTGGCTGCAACAGGGACATAGTACCTTTAAAGAGAAAATAACATTTTAAAGAATTTTTTTTTTTTTTTTGTTTTTTTTTGGGGGGGGGGGGGGGGGGGGGGGAGTAGGACTGTGGCTCACTTCACTGGCTCACAAAATTTAGAAATGGAATACATGTACATGTAGTTTCAGGACTCTCAGACAATGAGAAGCATGAATATCCCTGTCGGGCTGTATGACGACAGACCAAACTACATTTACATGTAATATCCCAAGATGACAATGTTAGAAAATAACAAAGTAATGAGAGAAGAAAAACATAAAGAATTAAATTTTTTAGTCTTGACCTACATGTACATGTAGTTTCAAGCAATACATTTTAGAACAATTGCAGTTTCAGTGAAAATGACCAACAAAGATTTCATATCCACAAAAATTTGTTAAATCATTTTGCTGAAAACACAAAATTGATCGATGCACAATTCAGAATCCTTTGAAGGCATTTGATCTAGAAAATAGACAAAATGCAGGAGTAGTTACAATTAAATCATCAGAGCTCAAGCCAAGGCTCAAGTCAATATTGGCTTGAACAACTAGATCCTATTAATGAATAACGCAAGAAAGAAAAAAAACATCGGCCTACACGCAAACAAAAAATATTAAAACTTGAATTTGAAGTTACATTCATTCATCATTGGTCTACTATTTTATGGTGTAGCAAAATACGAGAGATCTAGTCTGTAACCAGTACTTAGTTAGGCCTAGATCTAGATAATATTGGATGGCTTTGAGTGTGATACAAAAATATATTGTCATAGCAAGAGCAATGTATTTTTGACATGAACTTGTAATCACGCACAAACAAATCAGCCATTCGTGTACAAAAAAAATTGTATTAACAAAATTATTATATTTCTTATTACGTTTATTAGTTGCATTACTGTTAAATACATGTAGAGGTCTAGGTTATCCAGCAATTAGATCTCGCTAAAATTATCTAGGTCGAGATGTAGAATTAAAACCTCATGACTATAACCCCATGTTCATTACAAACTTTCATTCACCAGTCACTCACATTCACTCTATTCTGCCTTCATTTTGTTGACATTGTTTGATGAATTAAGAATGAAGATGATGGTCTGCAAACATTTCTAACACGTCTAATGTCACATTCTAAAACCTAAATTTCAAATAAAACATCAGGTTTTGTTCGTACTTACTTGTAGTTCCTTTGTCAATTGAAGGTGTCTTTGCGAGTTAGCCGGACGCGAAATAGTACCACGAATGTATAATTTCCACGCCCAGAGTTCCGGCGAGTGATAACTTGAGTGTACCGCTCCTACTTACAACTCGCTTTTCCAATGGGCATGCGGTGCACAGTACCACCGCGTAAAGCAACTCGATGCAAAACGCATGTAGTAAAGACGCACGTGCGATGTTATGTTGTGCAAGCAAAAGCTGAGGTTAGCAGCTACTTTGTCCTGAATAAATTTATTTAGTCTGATATGAAGACTTATCCTAACACAGCAATGTAATTTTCCCCTAATTTGTTGTTATCGTTGCTTAGCTTACTGAGCAATATTACTGTTGTCCTAATAATTTACAAAATTGCTTCCATTAAATGGCAATTTAAAAGCTTTATCTATGTCTTGAAAGAGACGTATGTAACGGTGGGTACAACTGCAGTGGCGTAATGAGCTAAAACGTTTTGGGGAGGGGGCAGAAAAAAACATCTGCATCACCACCACTCTTACATGTAACATGCAGTCCCCGACGAACGTTTTTCAAAGTGGGGGGGGGGGGGGGGGGGCTTGAGTATTCATGATCAGGTAGAGCAAAGCGAACGAAGGAAGTGGATCGTAAATTTGCATGCCGGGTCCAGGGGCGAAGCGGTTATGTGGCACTGATGAGCATATTTTGGGCTTAATTGTGACACTGGCAGGTCACTAATTGTAGTGAGGTCCAGGGGCGGGCCCCCAGAAGCTCATAGGTTTGTGGCATTAATTACGATTATATGAGCCAATATTTTGCTCAGTGGGGGGGGGGGGGGTAGTGAGCACTATTTTTTTTTTCTTTTTTCTTTTTTGCTCCCAAAAATTTGAAAATTCGCTCAGTGGGGGGAGGGGGGGTAGTGAGCACTATTTATTTATTTATTTTTTTTTTTTTTGGGGGGGGGGGTCCTCTAAAATTAGAAAAATTGCACCCCCCCCCCTTGAGCGCAGAGGGGGGGGGGCTATCTTCAAAAGAAGGTGGGGGCAGGGGGCAAAGCCCCTGGAACCTTTAGGAGTTTTAGGCATTTAATTACGGTCAGATAAGCCACCAGTGTCTCGCCCTAGGGTCCTAGTAGTGAGGTCCAAGGGGCAGAGCTCCAGGAAGTTCAGGGGAAAATCATGCCATCCAGCAACCTGATTTTTTTTTGGGGGGGGGAGGTCACAGCCCCCAAGCCCCCCCCCCCCCCCCCCCATTAGTACGCCATTGGGTACAATATATAGTTTGAAACTGGGAGGTGGTGAGGGAAGAGATTTCCTTTAAAAGGAAAGAAAAAGAAAAAGAAGAAGAAGATGTAATTATGGGAGGGGCACCATCATGTCCGGTAAAGAGTAGGCTTACTTACTTCCCATCAATTCCCATAATTCCGTATTGAGACCGGGGAGGGGCACCTGTAAATTTTACCCCTCCTCCTTCCCTTCTTTTTCTCAAATGATATCCATGCCCTAATCGCGCAGACTTGATCACTCACCGGGTTGATATCCGTTTCATTTATCAACTTATCATCATATATACAACCGAACCTGTCTATAAGGGCCAATGCCAGGGGAAAAAATGGCCAATGTAGTAAGGTGGCCTTTCCAGACAGGTTTTTTAACACACTTTAATTATAGATAGATGGGACCACTAAGGCAGGGGCGGATCCGAGCTGGCGGCAGGGGAGGGGGCCCCAATTCGTGAGAAAATATTTAGCGGCGAAACAGTCGGCCGATTATTCGCTCAGTGGGGGGGGGGGGGGGGGGCATATGCCTATGCGAAAAGAACCAAAATCATAACATTTTTGAGAAAACAAATTTTCTTTTCTCGTGCTTTTTTCGCTGAATACCCCAAAATCACATCGTCATCAAATTGTTAAGGTATTATTTTCTTTTCATTAGTGAACTTCGAGTTTCAGGTAAAATAAATCTGCTACAAGGCACGCCTACACGGGCCGTCATCCAATTTTTAACATTCTTGTTCCTTTCTGATTTGTCTTCATCCACTCATTACAAGCCAAATTAGTATAAAGTATTCATATCATTGTATAAAAGTAGAATCGCCATCATAATATTTTATTTTTCGTTTCTACGACCTACCCATGCAAGGGTGTCGATTTGTATCCGTGGTTGGGGGTTTGAAAGGTGCCAACATATTTTCGGCAATGGATCAAAGCAACCGAGAGGTAGAATCGTGTGGCAGGTTGCACCCATCCCCAAGCGCGTAGCCAGGATTTCATTTTAGGGGGGTAGTGAGCACGCAAAGCGCGCTCCCTATAGGGGTTGGGTGCAGGTAGGGAGGAGTTTCCCCATTCCCCCGCGAAGCGTGGAAGCTTTGACGCTTCATTAAATTATTAGAGAAAGAAGACGATTCGTTGGAACGTTCTCGACTCTTAACCCTTGTTTGAATCAAATTCCCCTTCCTCCGCGCGTAGCGCGGAAGTTCTGACGTTTCATTAGATTATTAAAGGAAAAAGACGATTCGATGTACCATTCTCGACTCTTAATCCTTGTTTGAATTCAGTTTCCCCACCCCACCTGCGCGAAGCGCGGAAGCTTTGACGTTTCTTAAATTATTAGGGAAAGAAGACGATCCGTATACCATTCTCGACTCTTAATCCTTGTCTGAATTCAGTTTCCCCCCCCCCCCTCCCGCGCGAAGAGGGTTAAGCTTTGACGTTTCAAATAATTATTACTCTTAATCCTTGTATGAATTCAATTTCGCCCATCTCGCGCGAAGCGCGGAAGCCTTACGTTTCATTAAATTATTACTCTTAATCCTTGTCTATATTTTCGCCCATCTCGCGCGAAGCGCGGAAGCTTTCACGTTTCATTAAATTATTAGAGAAAGAAGACGATTCGTTGTATCGTGTCCTTGTCTGAATTAAGTTTCCCCGCGTGGAAGCTTTGCATTTCAATAAATTATTACTCTTAATCCTTGTCTGAATTCATTTTTCGCCCATCTCGCGCGAAGCGCGGAAGCGTTCACGTTTCATTAAATTATTAGAGAAAGAAGACGATTCGTTGTATCGTGTCCTTGTCTGAGTGCAATCCCCCCCTCCCCACCCTCCCGCGCGAAGCGCGGAAGCTTTGACGGTTTAATAAATTATTACTCTTAATCCTTGTCTATATTCATTTTCGCCCATCTCGCACGAAGCGCTGAAGCTTTACCATTTTATTGAATTATTAGAGAAGGAAGACGATTCGTTGTATCGTGTCCTTGTCTGAAATCAGTTTCCCCCCATACACCGTTGTCTCATTTATTTCGTATATAATTATGTATGTATTATGAAAATGAGAGAGCAAAATGTGTATATTGATGGTCATCTTGCAAGTAATAATCAGAAACTACTCTCATCGGGCTCTCATCATTCATTTTTTTCTATTAAAAAAAAAAAATTATGGTGAATTATTAGGGGGGGGTGACTGTACAGGTCACCCCCCCCCCCACCTGAAATATTGGGGGGGGGATATATCCCCCCCCCCCGGGATCGACACCCATGTACCCATGTATTTTGGTTATTTATTTGAATAACCAAATAATGTTGTGAAGAAGAGCTATCAAAATAAAGTAAGAAAATCAAGACTATTCAACATTGCTAATACGAATACTAGTCGTTGCTAACTTCAGCAGGAAACTGAATCGACGAACACATTTTTGGCTCGGTTCATACTGCTAAGCGCATAGTGGTTAAGCACATTGGTGGGGTTACTTCTCGCGTTGCCAATTTGAAATACATATACTCAACGTAAACCTCGTGTGAAAGCACATGTAGGACTCAGAGTTACTGTGTAAACACAGTATTTATTAGTTAAAAAATTGAATAACCTCTTAAATATAGTTTATTATTACCCATACAAGGCATTTTAGCGGCAAAATAAAAAATCGTATTTTGCACGCTGCTCCAGATATGAAACCGGAGCGGGCAATATTTGCCATATTGCCCTATTCCGGGTTTCACCTTGTATAGTAGCATCCCTCTGCCTAAATCACTTAAATTGTATTTCAGCAACAACATATGGTATTTATATAAATGATCTTTGTGTCAAAATGCACAGGATTACGAAAGGCGTAATATTCAATGATCGTTGTCGCGGTTGAAATCGAGCCAAGTAATGATAACTCTTTATGCTCCCTGTCAAGACTGACTACTTTAGCTTTAAAACAATGTCTCTTGACTACAATCGACCGATTTGCTATTCCCGTTTGGAAATTATAAAGCAGAACTGCATATTCTGAGATTTGCATGGTCGCAGCTACCATGGAATGGCCTTAGGCGCTATTTACCAGAGTACCGGAAAATTTTGATTAATCTGCTCGAAAGCAGAAGTGTTTTAGGGGCTAAATTTGTTAGTTCTTATAGTAAATACACAGGGGCATCCACATGTATACAAAAAATTACTATCCATCCCATTTTCAAAATTTCCCAAAACTCTGAATTATCTTTAACGTGTCACGCGCGGTAACAATTTACGTCACAGTTACATGTTCATACATTTTCATCTCTGGACAAGAGTTTGGTAAAAACAGTCATACATGATAAGTAAAAATCATGCTTGATACCGAAGTATATTATTTGTTTTAAAAAATGCCTCGTATAGGACAGGGCTTCTTTCGGGTAGGCCTACTTCAGAAATAATGACCGCGCCTGTTAGATCATTATTGCCCTCGTCTTCGACTCGGGGGGGGGGGGGGGGGGCAGGCGCGCCGGAAGCAGTTTGGGACTGGGGGGGCAAACATTCCAGGGGGCTCACATTCCAGGGGCAGTGACGTAATGAGAAAAAAAGTTCGGAAGGGGGGGGGGGGGGCACACGAAAAATCTGCATCACCACCAGTCTTACACGTTACATGCAGGTCCCGCGGAACGTTTTTCAAAGTGGAGTATTATCGATCAGGTAGAGCGTAAATTGGCGTGGGGTCCAGGGAATGAGCCTCGGCAGGGGGTCAAGGGGCTGAGCCCCCGGAAGCTCAGGGGTTTTAGGTATTTATTTACGGTTAGATGAGCATCCAGGGGCCCTCTGTAAGGCAATTGACGTGTTCCAAGGGGGGGGGGGGGAGAGCCCCCAGAAATTCAGAGGTTTTGATATTTAACTACGGTCAGATGAGCATCCAGGGGCCGTCTTAGGGCCCTTGATGGGGTCCAGGGGGCAGAGCCCCCGGAAGCTCAGAGGTTTTAGGTATTTAATTAAGGTCAGATGAGCATCCAGGGGGCCGCCTTAGGGCCCTTGGTGGGGTCCAGGGGGCAGAGCCCCCGGAAGCTCAGAGGTTTTAGGTATTTAATTAAGGTCAGATGAGCATCCAGGGGGCCGCCTTAGGGCCCTTGGTGGGGTCCAGGGGGCAGAGCCCCCGGAAGCTCAGGGGTTTTAGGTATTTAATTACGGTCAGATGAGCATCCAGGGGCCCGCCTTAGGTCCCTTGGTGGCGTCCGGGGGCGGAGCCCCCGTAAGCTCTGGGGTTTTAAGCATTTAATTACGGTCAGATGAGCATTTTTTATACCTTATTTGTGACATTGGCAGGTCACTTATTTTTTTCTCCGTCTTTCTTTCTTTTTTTCTTTAACATACTTTTTCAAAAAGGAGGGGGGGGGGGGGGGCTCGAGCCCAGCCACTTTGCAGACCATGACATAAAGGCTTCTAAATTAGCGTATTTCGCCTGACTGTAATTTGGGAATTTCTTATTTTCCAACAAACGCATAAAAAGGTATGACTTACAAAAGAAATGGAGAAAAAATGCCGGAAAATCATGTCACAACATCAACATTTGTAAATCAATTGTTTCGAATAAGAAATACATCATCCCCCCCCCCCCATCAGTACGCCAGCGTTCAGGGGCTCATGTCTTCTCACCCCTATAACAAAAAAACGGGCACGCTTTCCCATTCTCGCGCAATATGTCCACGATATGCGCGTATCGCTATTATAGAGACCTCCATTGATAAATACCGTATAGGTGGCATGCGCAATGTTTATGAAATTTAATTCCTGTGAACTTTCCGTTTCTTCGAATGGAATTGTATATGTGATTTAATTCAGGTTTTTATTATTGTTACGTTCTTTTGGATTAAAAATACAAGCCTTTACTGTTGTTTTTTTTTTTTTTTTTGGAGGGGGGGGGGGGCGTTTTGGGGGGGGGGCAAAAATGCGTTTTGCCCCCCCACTTTTTTGACTGGGGGGGCAACTGCCCCCCCTGCCCCCCCACTTCCGGCGCCTATGGGGGGGGGGGGGGCGAGTCGGGGCAATATGATCTTAGCTTGGTCAATATTGCTGATATACCCCTCAAGCCCAGTCAATATATTTACTTATAGTATAATTATTATCTTCATTGTTATCATTACAATCAGTTAATTGTTGTTGTTGTTGTTGTTGTTGTGTTTGCTGCTAGCCGCTGTTGTTGTTGTTACTATGATTAAGAGCGGCGATCTACTTACAAATAAAATATGTTTTAAAACTTTTTTTAATGAATTAATCTAGCACAAGAAAAGATAAACAACGAAACGAACGAAATATCGAACAAACAAACATTTCTAACAAAAAAAATTGTTTTGCAAATTTTAAAAGACGGACCTATTTTGAATTGTATTTTTGTTAAACGTGGGACCCATGTTCAGGGTCTTTTTGTGAAAGAGTGACCCATTAGAGCGGCACACCCCCATATGTCCTAATACAATACAATACAATACAATACAATAAAGTCATTTATATAGCGCTCTTACGAACTAACTGTTGTTTCACAGCGCTTTACATAAAAAGTTATAATATGTGAGTACCCCCCCCCCCACCCCCAGGGGAGGGGGGGGGGGGGGGTTCCCATGACATGGGGGTCGGTTAGTGTGTAAACAATCTTTATGCCTTACGAGAAAACAGATTTTCAAATTGGCAACAAATTTACTACATGACCTGTCGGATAGTTCATAAGTTCCTACGTGTTACGTGATTATGCGTAATGAATTGTATGTCTTCGTGATACTGACGCAATCGCAGTCTTGTAATACCGAAAATGGATCAAAATTCGTTTCCATCCTCTGGCCTATTTGGTTCATATGGAGCTTATTCTTCAGGTGACCCGTCTCTCAACATACCTGGTAAGCTAACCGTCAGAATTCTTCTTTAAATTTCATAAAGACAGTCTAGCAATTTTTCTTGTGCACCGCACCGGTCATCAGGCCGGGTGAACATGCCCGCGCCGGGCCCACGGGCGTGAGATAGCGTACATGTACGGGTCAGGCGCTGGAGCGCCTAGGCGAAGAATTAAGCAGCTAGCAGTGCGCAGTGCAGTGGATTGGTTCTTCTTTGAATATGCCTAATAATATCTGCCTATGCCTTTTGGCCGGGTAAGCTAGGCCTGGTAAGCTAGGCCTGGTAAGCTAGGCCTGGTTGAGTCCTTACGCTACCTCGGTGGCATTTACGCTGCAAGCAAAAAGCCATCACTTTTTTCACATTCATATTCAGAAGTTTTGTCGAGAGTTGCAGGGCCAGGCATAAAACGAGCATGATGAAAAACTTGAATCGAAATTAATGAAAATTTTAAAACCCACCTCTGGTCTGGATTGTGTAGGTCTAGATCTATGTTTGAAAAAAAAAATGCCCTCTTTAATTCAGCCGGCTTTTTTTAATAGTTTTTCAGTGTAAATGCTCGCTCTCAGAAGACTGGTGCACGATATCACGAAGAACTTTGCGCATTGAGCACTGTACAGTGAGTTAACGCGCTCCCATTGGCCGATCTGCTCGAGTGGCTTCGAATTTAAGTGAGAGAGGGCCTACTTTACTTAAGCGCAAATTAAGTTCAATGGCAATGTCAAAAGACCCTACGTAAGATTATGTCACACCACAGAGATTTTGACATGTCATGCTTTAAACAGGTGGCGCATTTCACACATAACTGACGCACCCATGAAATAGACATATCAACGAACACTTCAGAATAAATTTCCACTTTGTACCTTGAATATGACGAAAGTGAGAATTGTTCAAACTTTAAAAATAGCAACGCAAGACTTGCCAGGGTAAATGGGAGTTCAAAAGAACAATGGTATTTCAATTTAGTTTTTCTGCAATGTAAATGGGCTTGAATGCCTACATGTACATGTAGTTACTAGTAGTATTAGATAATACTTCAATGTCCACAGGCTGGCAATCAATAAGTCTATTGTATATATAGGTACATTCTGAGAGTTCACTGAATTCAGTGACCATGAATTTCCAGAACTCCATTAAAAAAAGCTGTAGACTAATTTTCACCATTTTTTTCTTTCTTGTTTCCCGTTAACAGTTACATCAGGAGCCAGCGGTTCCCTCTCACCATACCTGAATGTCGATCCCATGTATCTGAATCAGGTTTGTAGTATGATTAGCAGTCATGGAGTCTTTCATGTATACCCAGGCGATATGTGTGTCCGGACAAGTTGTGTATCCGGACAGTTGATTTAAAACTGCAATTTGAAGAAGTTTGCAATTACAAGCAATAGATCATAGATTTTCTAAGATTTATGTTGGACGATATATTATGTGGGAAAGTATACATGTTGGTTAGTCGAATTTGATGAATATTTTTAATTAAATACAAAGGCGAAAGAGAAGGGTTTTTTTTTGTTTAAGTTTCCCCATCATACAGTGTTTTGGGCAGTAAGTGTATGTGTGTATTGTGTACATGCACTGATTATTGATGACTTAAAACATTATCAGAAAATTTTTCTTGACTTTACAAATCTTCCTTTTTTGTATGGAAAAACAACCACTTTTCCTGTGGGAATTTCCCAACAAATCAGAGTATCAGACTTAAGAACAATACATCATTTTTCAGTGAGCTGTAAGACTACAATATTTTCTCCAAAGCCCTGCTCCAAAACCCGCTGAATGCAAAGCGAAAAGCCTAAGAGATAACTCTAGATATAACCCATTGAATGATAAATGTCAGAATTAACAGGGAGGGGGGGGGGGGGGGATGCTACCAAAATACCAGAATACCCCAGAGTAAAATCAGATAACAGAAGCAAACCTTGAGATTTGTTGCATTTCATGTTTTGAAATTGGAGCATAGTTTAAAGTGAATGTTTAACTTTATTTCCATTTTCTTCTTCTTCCCTCCTATTTCAGGGTGACTCCCAATTCATCATCCCCAATGGCCAAGCTAGGACGAGAGGAAGATTTGAGTTGGCTTTCTCTCAAATTGGTAGTTCATGTCTTGCAGGTAAGTTATAATGGTACTTTCATAATTTCTATGTCTGATGTGTATCATAAATTCAAAGTTTCAGTTTCATTTAAATACAACCTGAGATTGGCTGGGAACCTGCAATTTATTAAAGTACTTCTAATATTATGTCATAGGCTCGAGAAGTAAAATATTATTAAAGTGAATCGGTGATTGTAATGACACTTTGCTCTTACCATTTCATTCTGTATTTTAGATATTTTAACATTGTACATACGTACACTCTCTTTTAATATTTTATATGTACGTACATGTTCATGTAATGAACACGCTATGGGTTTTACAAACATATTTCTCAAGCATTGTATTCTTAAGTAAATTTAATTTGCCTCTTGATCTTAAAAGTAATTTTTAATGGTACATTGTAATGTGACATAATATTGGGAAGATGTTGTGAACATGTGTAATTTCAGTAATGAACAAATAAAATTAACAAAGCTAAACTGACGTTGGTTAAGATTTTGGCTTTGATGAGAATATGCTCTTTTGAGATGATTACATCAGCAACATGTATGCAGTCATCAGTGTGAAAGCTTGAATAAAACATGTTGGTCCATCCAAACTTTTAATCAATCAGTGAATCAATTAGTCAACCAATCAATCTATAATGACACAATTTATCTGTTACTCGATGGTACTATTTTGTTTGTTTCTTTATTAGGGGCATTGTATGGAGCTGTGAATGGCCTTCGTATATCAGGTGTAGAGACGAAAGAGCTTGCCGGCAGAGTACGCATGTCACAGTAAGGCATTTTTAAATATCTAATGTATTCAAATTGGAATTGCCCCTTCCAACTAAACCATTGGAATCAGTTCATTATTTAATTTAATTATTTTAATATAAATTTTGAGATGTTTAATAAAGCTTTTTATGTTTATTATAATATCTTTGTGTAGAATAAAATTTTCTTGGGTTCATATTGTTGTATTGATCTGTGATTATATTTCATCAGTTGAGAAGCACATTTAGTTGTGTTTTTAGACTTAAAGAGAAGGTTGAGTTCTGGGAAGAGGTGAAAAATAAATGCAAGGTTGGAAGAACATCAGAGTAAAAATGTCCCATGAAAAGCATGGCCCCTCAAATGCCTTCATATTCTTAATATGGCATGTAACATGTTTGTGTAGTCCCATATTTTCTGTGTACAGTGCTTGTAACTGGGCCAAATTTCTTATCATTTTGATGATTCTAAAACCTTGCAGTACACACCAATATGCTAGATCATCAACCTTTTCTGATCGATTCCACACCATTTCTTTCACAATGCAATTGCATGACCAGAACTAATCTTTATCTTTAAGGCCTCATTCTCAACTGACTAATCGTAGTCAAGAGAGTGATCAATTCAGACCACAAGTTTATGACCTCTTAAGTGTGGCTCCCGATATTAAGCTTTTGATTACATCAATACTGTAGTTATGTAACTGTGTGTAAATTATAATTTATATTTTGCCCCATTCTGATAACAAGTAACTATGAATATTAACAATTGTTATGGTACCCATGAAGATTGTTGCCATGCCCTTCTTCATGTGTTTTTGTTTGTGTAAACAAAAAAAATTCAAAGAATATTTTTTATTTGTTATTGATTCTTTATTTTACTGCCTATTAATTTTCAGAATGTTAACACTGGTCACTAAACAAGGAGCCTCTTCTGCAAATTCTATAGGAGTAGTTGGTGAGTACAGAAGTACAGTGTGTGAAACAGTTTTCGCATCGTTAGACAGTTGTCCTTGTTAGCTCCTTCCACTCCTTTGTCAGAAGCAATGGGTGCTCCAATTGAACCAAGTTTTGTATGCGTTTGCTGGAGGTCTTCAGGGCCTAGACCCTTGTAAGGGAGGTACTTTTTGGGGGAGGGGGTCTAGTTGCTTTACCCCTATCTGCACTAGTTGTCCAGGAGGGATTAGACCTCCCTGCATGGTCACTGGCAGGTAATGATCTCATCAAATCAGTTTTAAATGAACATAAGAAAAAGTGGATCATGGGGGACCAACGGGTACTGCTTATGCATTGTTGGTTATATAGAGGGTGCAAGTAGATACAAGTAGTGCAGTCCCGCTTTAAAACTCTAGCAGAAAGTCTTTAGCAGATACTTATCAGGAAATGTGTAAATAGAAGATTTGCCTCAATTGTTTTGCTTTGTTTTTGTTGCATCTGGTTGTCAGGGATTTTGGAGAGAAATATTACTCCCTGTTTATTCATTGACCATAGAACTTACGAGTGGCTTTGTGTCATAACCTAAAAATCATATTTCACTGTTTCATCTATACTGTTTGAAGTATGGGGAATGACGAAGCCATCCCAGGAAAACCCTACAGACATAAGCACAAATGTAATATATGCAGCTAACAACTGAATTATTCAATTGTAAATTGGTGTTTTTTGTGTGTTTCCTCATAACTCAAGAATGAAGGGTGGACAGGTTGAATTAGGGCCTTTTTTTTTTAATACTTTTAGATGAAAGCTTTTACATGTCACAATCTTAGGAAACATATGTCAGGACAAATCAATTTTTCACATACAGTACTTAAAAATTTACAAGATTTAATAAAGATATGAATTATTTAGTTGTTAACTGTAATAGTTGTTAATGGAAAGAAATCATAAACTGATTTCTATTTTGTTTCATTGTAGCTCTTATGTACACAATCTTCGGTATTGGTCTTTCGTGGAGTAGAGGAACAGACGATGAGATTAACACGTTAGGTGCTGCAACCATGACTGGAATGCTCTATAAATCTTCAGGTATGTATACGTCGATAGAAAGCTCTTCTTCTCTCCATCTTACTATCCCTCTCTCTATCTTACTTTAGTTAGAGAGAAGAGAGAAGGGAAGTAAGTTAGAGAGAAGGATTACTTTCCTTCTCTCTATCTTACTTTACTTTCCTTCTCTCTATCTTACTTTCCTTCTCTCTATCTTACTACCCTTCTCTCTAATTTGCTTTCCTTCTCTGTATCTTACTACCCTTCTCTCTATCTTACTTACCTTCTCTCTATCTTACTTTTCTTCTCTCTATCTTACTTCCCTTCCCTCTATCTTACTTACCTTCTCTCTATCTTACTTTTCTTCTCTCTGTCTTACTTTTCTTCTCTCTATCTTACTACCCTTCTCTCTAACTTGCTTTCCTTCTCTCTGCCTTACTTTCCTTCTCTCTGTCTTACTTTTCTTCTCTCTACCTTACTACCCTTCTCTCTATCTTATTTACCTTTTCTCTATCTTACTACCCTTCTCTATCTTACTTACCTTTTCTCTATCTTACTACCCTTCTCTCTAACTTGCTTTCCTTCTCTGTATCTTACTACCCTTCTCTCTAACTTGCTTTCCTTCTCTCTGCCTTACTTTCCTTCTCTCTGTCTTACTTTTCTTCTCTCTACCTTACTACCCTTCTCTCTATCTTATTTACCTTTTCTCTATCTTACTACCCTTCTCTATCTTACTTACCTTTTCTCTATCTTACTACCCTTCTCTCTAACTTGCTTTCCTTCTCTCTGCCTTACTTTCCTTCTCTCTGTCTTACTTTTCTTCTCTCTACCTTACTACCCTTCTCTCTATCTTATTTACCTTTTCTCTATCTTACTACCCTTCTCTATCTTACTTACCTTTTCTCTATCTTACTACCCTTCTCTCTAACTTGCTTTCCTTCTCTGTATCTTACTACCCTTCTCTCTAACTTGCTTTCCTTCTCTCTGCCTTACTTTCCTTCTCTCTGTCTTACTTTTCTTCTCTCTACCTTACTACCCTTCTCTCTATCTTATTTACCTTTTCTCTATCTTACTACCCTTCTCTATCTTACTTACCTTTTCTCTATCTTACTACCCTTCTCTCTAACTTGCTTTCCTTCTCTCTGCCTTACTTTCCTTCTCTCTGTCTTACTTTTCTTCTCTCTACCTTACTACCCTTCTCTCTATCTTATTTACCTTTTCTCTATCTTACTACCCTTCTCTATCTTACTTCCCTTTTCTCTATCTTACTACCCTTCCCTCTATCTTACTTCCCTTCTCTCTACCTTACTTTCCTTCTCTCTATCTTACTTTTACTATCTACAGTATCTTTTATATAGAATATAGATTAAAACTGAGTGCTTCCGATTTAAGGTTTAGATATGGTTTGTCTGTCTTGCAGATCATCAATTTCTTTTCTGTTCTCCTGTTTTTCAGCTGGGGCGCCTAAGATGCTGCGAGGCGGAGCCGTTGGCCTGACTCTCGCTTCAGTGTACTGCTTGTACCAGAACAGGGATAAAGTGTCATCCATGATGTCAGGAAACAATTCCCAGTACTAGACCATCATCATCATCAGATGCTCAGGTTGAACTGTATTTATAGAGAAAGACTTTTGGATGATCTAGACGTGGACAATACACTGCTGCACATTGGATATCAATCATGCTTCTGAATTTTAACGGTTAAATCAAGTCCAGGCTCTTTCATTAATGGGCGTCAGCTCTTCAGCGGAGTCTTGAAGATGGTGTTGATTTAATGCAACCGTTACGGCCCAAGAATTCATGGTATTTTGGTTTTCGAATGACTATTTTTTTTCACCGCACTCTGATTAGATAAGAGAAAATTGTACTCATCTGCAGGCCAAGATGTCTCTCTGCGCGAGTCAAAGTCACTGGCAGGAGAAATACGTCTGCAGCCATCTACTGTCAAGTCATGCACATTTGTGGATGTTACAGATTTCATGATTCCTTTTCAAGGGCTCAACTGGTTTACATAATGTTTGTAAAATTGGCAACAATAATTTTTTTCTTTTATTGCTTTAAAGTTAAAATGAAATGTTATGTCTCTGAAAATCATGTACATGGGCAAGGATGTGGTCGGGAAGTTGACGAAATTGCCATTTTTGATCGTAAAACATTGATTTTAAAGCCTCGATTGTGTTGCTAATTAAAGGATCTAAAAACTTATTTTCTTCTTTAAAATTCATGGCATCTAATGCAATATACATGTAGTCATGAAACATAAATGGATGCAGTGTGTGAAGAAATTTTTGCCTTTTCTACTCGTGTATCTGCCATACATTGATGGCTCTGAAGCCTCTGAATAAAAAAAATTATTGAGTAAAAGGAGGTGTAGCATAGGAAATACTGTTTAACACTATCTACAACTTCTTTTGGACAACTGTGCTAGCGTTCGCAAAATTTAGTTGTATCATACCCGATTGGCCCCGAGTCAGGCCTCGGGAAAGACATAGTGTCGACATACCAAATCCCATTTAAACCACAAAATGTGGAATGATTGTTGCAAAAGGGTTCATGGCTTCTCTTTTACATAAAATTTACTTCAGCTAGGCCCCGTTGTTTTAAACTGAATGTGCAACATAACGTGAAAACAATATCAACTACTTCCGAAATATCAACTCATGGATTTGTCATGTTCATTCATTTCAATGGGTAACACATAAGTCTATTCAAATCGCTTGAAGTTGATTTTTAGAATGTAGTTATGATTGTGTTCAAGTTATAGCTACTAGAAATGTTGCAGTTGTTTTTGGTGACACGCTTTATCAACGTTTCCCAGAGTTCTATTCATAGTTTTTCATCAATCTGTAAATGTTCAGCAACATCTGTGCCTGGAACGGCATGTGTAATCGTAATCACTGTTTACCCTGTGATCGGATTGTTAAGTTACTGTCGAAGATGGACTTGTTAAACGAATATCAATATTCCCACAGCACTTTATGTGCATGATTTACATATGTTGGGAAAAGTAGAAAAACACGTTTACTGTAAAAGTACCACTAAAAGGGTTTGGTGGTTTAGAAAAAAGTTTGTTGGCCCAGATTTTACTAACATTTCAGTAAAAATTAAATCAGAAACTGGTATATAATCTCCATGTGACTGACAACCTATGCCATTTGTGTGGCTTCATATATTGGAGAGAATTACCACACTTGTATTCTCCAGTTTCAGGAGACATTGTATTGTAAAGTACATTTGATTATGTGAGAGAGCTATGTGTATTAAATGTATAAAACAAATTTACAAACATGAGATCCTCATAGCAAGCTGCTGTCTACATTGTATGTACATGTATTGTGGATGTTGTATGCACCATTAATTGTTTAAGTTTAGGGAGTCATTACTGGATGTGAGAAAATACGTGGGATATATAATGTAACTCAGATGGAGAGATCTTTGAATGAGATGAAGAGGGGGAGGGGTTTGGGGGTCCAAGAGATGTAACGGAAGATGAAGGGAAGACAGCGAGAGGAGGGAGGAGGTGAGATCTGTAAAGAGAAAGAGAGAGGGTGGATCCAAGAGATCGGTAAAGAAAGGGGGAGGTAGATCAAAGAGATCACTAAATAACAAGAAAGGGAGGGGTGGATCCAATAGATCATTAAAGAGAAAGGGTGGATCCAAAAGATCCATAAATGAGAGAGAGAGAGAGGGGTTCAAGAGATGGAAAAAGGAAGATAAGGGGAATACAGAGATACGAAAGAGGAGACAAGAGATATGTAAAGAGAAAGAGAGAGGGGTGGATCCAAGAGATCAGTAAAGAGTTAAGAGGGGGTGGATCCAAGAAATCAGTAAGGAAAGGGGGTGGGTCGAAGAGATCAGTACATGAGAGAGAGAGGGGGAGGGGAAGGGGGCGCTCCAAGGGAGGTAACGGAAGATGAAGGGAAAACAGCGAGAGGAGAGAGGATCAAAAAGATCTGTAAAAAAAAAAAAAGAGAGAGAGGGGTGGATCCAAGAGATCAGTAAATGAGAGAGAGAGAGAGGGGGGGGGGGGGAAGGGGTGGTCCAAGAGATGTAACAGAAGATGAAGGGAAGACAGCGAGAGGAGAGAGAGGATCCAAGAGATCTGTGAAAAATATTTAAAAAAGAGAGAGAGATCACTCAATAAAAAGAAGGGGGTGGATCCATGGTTGTTTTCCGGACCATGAACCAACACAGTCATAGAACTCAATTTTTGTCTCGCCTGCGTAGCAAAAAGCGAGACATAGGCGCCGCTTTTCCGGTGACGGCGACGGCGGCGTCAACATCAAAAACTTAACCTAAGGTTAAGTTTTTGAATTTTTGATATAATTTTTAAAGTATAAGTACTTAGTGAGTCAATGAAACTTTGACTATAGGGTAATCAAGTATCCTTAATCATGTAAGTAGAATTTCAGATCACAAAGTCAAGGTCGAAGGTCATTTAAGCTCAACAAACTTAGACTTTGTTGTGGCATCAACATCAAGATTTTCAAAATGCTTCTTCTTCGTTATTTTTCAACCGATTTCGATTCTGATTGTTTCATATGATAGGGCTAGGAGGAGGATTTAAAATTTCTACACATAATCGTGAAATTCATTATCTATAATAATAATAATAATAATAATAATAATAATAGCTTAATAGTCAACTCCAAATTTTATTAAACCGAAACGGAAATTGTTCTCCATTAATTAATTATGGTAATTTTGGCAAATTTATTCCAAAAATAACAAAAATTGCTTCTTTTCCCTCATTTCTTGACCGATTTTGATTTGGTTTGCCTTATCTGGTAGAGTTAAATTTGGAACACTAAACTTCTACACAGAATTGTGAGATTTTGCTCCATTGATTATTTATGGTACTTTATGCAAATGAAATGAAATTATGTCCCTTCCAGGGCATCAACTTGATTTTATTTTTTGACCAGTTCAAAAGTGTACCACATAAAATTTACGATATTTGTTGTTGCGAGATGCAGATGAGCGCTACGTCATTGACATTTTGGTTTATCATATTGTATTGAATTGCGTTATGCAGGCGAGACCGCCGAGAGCGTTTCCCTTGTTCCAATTTCAGGCAGGCCCAATACCACACTATGTCAAGAAGACCTTCCTTAGGTATTATGAGCTTAAAAAATGGTGACATGATCCAATTAGATGTTGGGGTTAGTAGATCAAGATCATAGTCGTCAGTTGACATTTGATAATAGGCGGATGCATATGTAAACATTTATTCATTTTTGCTAGCAATATTTCATATCTTGTATTTTTTTTAAAAATCTTTTTTGGTTGTTTTGTTTTCTTGTTACTACTTTAATGTTTTGATTTAAAAATGTATTCATTGTTATATATTTGTCCTCATTTACTATGTTATCTTTATGCTTTTGAATGCTTTTTATATTGATGTAAACTTGCATTTTTAGTCTTCGGACTTGTTGACAAGTAATGAATAAAACCTTATTTGAACTTGAACTTGAACTTGAACCAAAGTATAGGAAACGCAGTCGGATATACATTTGAATCACCAAAAAGTGACCGGAATGGTTGGTTTTCCCAGGGATGTCACACTTCCCTGGTTTTCTGGACCATGAACCAACCAATCATATTCGAAAAGATAAACAAAAAAAGGACATAGTCAAGTAATCGTATCGTATAGCAGCATATATATCTTTTCTTGTTAGAATCCAACTGATTTAAAACGAATGTTATTTTGCTCAGTGTTTTTTTTTCTTCGTAAGATTACCAGGAAAACAACGCGAGAGAAAAAAATGAATGCCGATACACTAGAGCTTGCACGAAAGTACGATTCAGTCAGTTCTGTGTACATGCAGAATGGAGTTCGCGATAAAGCTTTGAGTTGGATCGAATTGGAGAAAGACGATGTCGTGCTCGAGGTCGGATGTGGTTCTGGAAGGCTGTGTAAGATATTGTCCCCTCGCGTTAACTCCGTTACTGGTGAGTATATGATATAGGCCCTAGGCCATCGTCTTTGTAGATGTTCTGCTATGAATGATGACTAGCAAATTTTCATCGCTGATTTTGCCACTTTTTTATGTCTGGACTGCATAGTTGCCCCCTATAGGCTACTGACATACTAATTATTTGCCACATAATTTTGAAAAGAAAATATAATTTTTTTTCCATTGATTACCAGGTGATAAGAAATGTGTGTTTGCCATCGTAACTAGCCAGTGGCGGACCCAGGGGGACCTTTTTGGGGGAGATGCCCCCCCCCCCCTGGTGCAAGGGGGGAGGGGGTGCACATTTTCAAATTTCCCAGGGCCAAAAAAAAAAGTGCTCTCTACCCCCCACCCCCCCCCCCACCCCACCCCCCACTGAGCGCATTTTCGGGAGCAAAATGAAAATAATTGGGCCCCCACCTCTAAGAATTCCAGGATCCGCGCCTGTTACTAGCAGTGGCGTAGGTACTGGGGCGCGGGCCTGGCCCCTCCACTCAGTGTTATTTAGGGAACGCATATATGCATGTTCCCTCCTTTTGAAAACACCCCCTATGTCCGGTGTGTAAAGTCTTGTTTGTGTATGTACGAGCCGGACTTTGGTGTGTGAAAAGTACCCCTTTACCGGACATTTTGGTAACACGCATGTTATCCCTCCGTTCACGGAGTGGGGGGCGGGGGCGAGGGGTACGGGACACGTGGTCAAAAAAGAAAGAAAGAAAACATATGCGAGAAAAGAAAGAGGGAGAAGGGGAAAAGGTCTGGATTTGAAGACGTCTAAAAAACCTTCCCCCCCCCCCTTTCCCCTCATCAATAGCCTTGCAAAAGTCGCATTGCATTTTCCTAGTTAGACCGGTGTGCCGCCCCCTCCCTGGCATCGTGTTATTGCCCCCTCAATGGATGAACATCCATTTAGCACGCGCAATGGCAAATACACACTGGAATCGCTGACTTCAACAATCAGCACAGGCCAACATTGTTCTATTACATTTCACAAGTTTGGTGTTGCTGATGTTGTTTTGTGTTGCGGGTCCCCTAAATGTGCTCACGATGCTCTCCATTTCTTTCCAAGAGAAAGGATGAAAAAAAAAACCTGAGTTAATTAATTGATATAATAATAATAATAATTCGGTTGTAACACATTCAAGATTATTTTAACTGGTATTCAGGAACATCACTGGTGTTAGGTTTGTCCTTGTTATATCGCTGGCTAACAGTATTCAGAGTAAAAGGCATGGGCGTCAATCAGGGGGAGGAGGGGGGGGGGGCAGGGTCAGGGTCAGGGTGACACGCCCACATTTTGGAAGTCTAGTGTCTTCTTCGGAAAGGTACCCGTCCACATTTTCCCGCTATCCTTGGAGACCTAGATTTGGATACAATGGTGTGTTTTTTTGTAAAACAATTTTTTTGTGCAGGTTTGGACATCTCTGTAGGTTTGATAGAACTTGCGAAAAGGGAAAATCCAGCGTCCAATGTACAATTCTTTGAGGAAGACGCGCAGACGTTCGGGCCTCACCTCCACGACTGGCGCGAAAAGTTCGACAAAATTCTGAGCTTCACGGTTCTTCAGTGGTGCTCCGATAAGGAGAGCATCCTTAAGAATGTCTACCGCTGTCTTAAACCTGGTGGTATATTCCTCCTTGACTTTGGACTACATGGCCAGTGCATGGGGGAGTGGAGTAGTTATGGAGAAACAGCTGATGTATGGGTCAGGAAACATCCCAAATGGGGTTCATACCTGCAGGTAATTAAAAACACTATTTGTACCAGTATCAGCGAAATAGCATCGTGTCCTCTTGTTATATAAAGGGAAATGTTCGAGGGGGGGTGTCGCGATCCATATCTGAAGGTAGAATCGCTTGTAAGTACAGTTTTGTAACTTGGTAATGGCGAAATAAATGTTGTGCCCCCCCCTGTTGTATTTTATTCCAGAGGCGGTGCTTCCGGGGAACTAATGCCCCTATTAAAATATGTTAGGGGTCACTACAACTTTGACAAGTGCCACTTTTACAATTTTCCTTTTTAATAAATTCACCGGTCTCCCTCTTAGTATTGCCCCTTTTCACCACTGAAAAGTGCCCCTTGTATTTTGCCACGTGCCCCTTTTTTCCTTTCCAATAAGTGCCATTTTCTCTTCCGAGAAGTCATCCCTTTCCTTCTGTAATGTATGCTTCTTCCCCTTTCTTATAAATACCCCCTCTTCGCGATTCGTAAGTGCCCCTGTAAAAATGTGATAGGTCCTCTTGTGGAGTACATAATGACATTACAATTTCCTTAATTGTTTCAGTCCCTTTCTTTATTATTTACACAAATCAGAATTGCGGCTACGCCATATATTACACGAAAAGTTCTGAAGGCTTTCTCGAAATAATGAGATCAGTGGGTTTCATCATTCAAAGATCTGAAGTCAAACAAAGGCCCTGGGTCAAATGGAATGAAGAAACAATAAAAAGTAAGTACAGCATATCATTATTGTTAAAAAGCCAAACAAACAGCAAACAAGAGTTTGATGTCCGGGCAAAAGATGTCAGCCCCACCCCACTCCCAACATGACTAGCCTCTTGTCGATGCCCTCGCGCAGTTGGAGTCTCTAAATTCTGACGAGCGAAGCGAGTCAGAGAAACCGAGGCGCTTGCGCGGAACGCCTCGGTTTCTCTGACTCGCTTCGCTCGTCAGAATTTAGAGACTCCAACAGCGCGAGGGCATCGACAAGAGGCTACAACATGACTGGCTACACAACCGCGTATGAGAGTGCCCCCCCCCCCGGCCCCACCCCCTTATGCCCTTATGCCGATTCATAGAGAAGATAGTCGACGTTTTCCTTAAAAAGGGATGTTTTTCAAGCACAGATCGCACATAAACCAAAAAAAAAAATGCGATACTTACATTTCAGAGGTTGAAGGACACGGCTGGGTAGGGCAGCGCTTGAGTGTATATGAGAGTGACCCCCCTCCCCTTATCCACTTATAAGGGGATTCATAGGGAAAATGAAGGCTACTAAAGAGAACAGTACTGTTGTTCTCAGTTGACTAGAGATTCCTGACATAATAAAGTTTAGGTCAAATGTAATTTATGCAGAGCTGAGATCGTGAAACTTCTTTTCTTATAAGCCAGTTCACGGTTGCAGTCTGAGCATGAGCAGATAAAAATCATTGCAGAACAAATTGTAAAATACACAGAGACAAAATACTGGATACGTGCTCATGAAAGTTATGTAATCATTATTCATTTATACACAAGCAGTGCACCCCATGAGACACAGGTGGAAGTATGCTTTGAAAAGGGAAAACTAAGGCTATTTATGTAGTACCTCCATCGCTGTAGGAGTGATTATTTCATTATTTACAAAGTGGGACTTCTTCATCTTTTGAAGATCTGTGAATATTCGGGGTCATTCGGGACATGTGCTAACCATGAACTGGTCTTTTCATCCTTCATGATTGTACAGGTCAGCTGCGATGCCTATTTTACCCCATCAAGCACATCCCCGCGGAGCATCAGGATGAATTCATCGATGACGTCTACAAGTGGTTATATGACGTCACCCCTAAGAGATCTAAAGACGTTTTGCAGGGTGAGGTGGGACGCTTTGAAAACATGACCATTGTGGCTACCAAAGAATAACGTTCTCCGTTACTTTTGTTTTGTTTCATTGTATACGTTCTTGGAAACCTACTGGCCGACATAGCGGCAATCAAACGTGCGGTTCTATGGGTTATAATGTGGCCTTTAAAAACAGTTAAAGGTACTCTGTCCCATTTGCAGGCCAAACAAAATGAAAAGGTTAAATTCCAACGGCATTTGAAAGACAAAACTAAATTAGAACTTCCCTCAAAACGAAAGGGCTAGAAAATGGCTTTTAGTGGGAAAATAACGACCTTGAGTTGTCGAATCGACTGTCCCGTTTGTTTATTTAACATTCGCAATGCTCATCACATTCGGCTCCACCTCTGTAGGTCTTCTCCTTTACGGTTTTACACCTACTTCTTTTCTCATTACATGTTCATAACATTCTCCTTCTTCTCCTTCATCTCCCTCAAATGTTTTCAATCTACTCATCCCTCTCTTATGACAGTCTCTTTTAGTTTTCTTCTGTTCATCTCTCCTCTCCATTCCCTTTCTCATCAATCTAATATGTTGAACGATCATCATCTAATTCTTCCATCCTATCCTAGTTCTACCTGAGTCCTCCCATCCAATCTCCTCACTCTCTCTCTCTCTCTCTCTCTCTCTCTCTCCCTTCCCCCCTTTATATTTCTTCGATCAGCTATAAAGTAACGTTTCGTCAGTTTGAGCCGCCATTTAGATATTCAAAAGTTTAATATATGTTTTTGCTGCCAATTTCAAACTTTGACAATTTCTGAGCATTCGAATTCGCGCAAACGAGGATAGGGGTAGGTTGATTGACGCCTTTGAGAAAGAAAATCTTGACTACATCGAATTGAAGGACACCCTCGAATAAAGTGGGGGTTCAATTCGTTCAAATCGAGTTCATAAATATATATTATCATAATATTATATTTTATGTTTAAACGTAGAATGTTATGTAGTATGTATTCCATTGTATAGTTTATGTTGCCCTTTACATTGCTCTTTGAAACACGAAACCTGGACTTATTTTGCCTTTTCCTTTATTTGTGAAGAACAGAATATATAAATAATAATTATGGGATCTTTTTTCTGACAATTAAACAAAATGTATATCAATCAATTATGGTTCGTTTGGGGTAGCTGATCCAGGTATTAGATTTATTGATGAAAATGTTTTGATGGAACTTCCTTGAAGTGCCGTAAAAAAGATGAGGCTTCCTCGAAATGTGCGAGAAAAAAAAAGAGGAGTATGAAAATCCACATTTCGTTGATTTTTTTTTTCTTAGGCCTCAAATATCATTGCGGGGGTGGTGACAATGTTATACATGTAATTAGATGAATCGTCTCGTTTTCCCGCAGATGGTATTAAATTCCGTTGTCCTGCATATTACAGTCCTGTTTTCCAGAGTGAAAATCAGATTTCTTTAACTCTAACTTGTATGTATAGGACATCCCTTGCGGGGAAAATGAACAGGTGTGTGTGTATTGCTACTTTTTATGATACTTCCCGCAATCATGAAGGGATCATGGCGCAATCAAAGACGATGTTACGCTTGTAAACACTGACCTCTACACAGAGAGGTCAGTGCTTGTAAATAAGCGAGTTCGTAATTAGGATTTGCGCATGGGCAGATAAAGGTCGTTCGTACCCAAATTGTAAAACCATTGAGACGAATACTCGGAACGTGCTCATGACAATCATGTAATCAGCATTCATTTATGCACCAACAGTACATTTACACAGGCCGTGGAAGTATTCTTCCAACAAAAGGTATTCATGAAGCACCTCCATCACTTCGGCAGTGATTATTCTGAAATGCACACGTGGGAAGTATCCATCGTGTCAAAGATCTGTGGATATTTTGGGGTCATGCGGTCCAGAGCTATTTACGAACTCGCTTATTGGTCTTCGAATTGGTCTTAGAGGGAGAAACTCTCATCAAGTGATCCTCTTTTTAAGAAACTTAGGAGTCTTAAATATTTTTGACATTTGTAAATTGCAAACTGCATAATATTTATGTACAAATAATTCAACAACTTGATGCCTCAGGCCCGGGCGCTAATTTTTAATAATATGTTCATGATAAACTCTGAAATGGAATTCATTACCTGCTGACATAAAAGAACAGCCCATCGCTTGCCTCTTTTAAATGCAAATATAAACGATGCCTTTTGAAATGCTAAAATATGTTGATTTTTTTTAAAGGTACTACACCACCTGAAATATTTATGCTCAACTATTCTTTGTGAATACTTTTCCTTCACACAGACCGCCTGTTTTCCTCTTGTTGTGTACTTAATTATGTTTTCTACCTACCTATATATATTTGATTTATTCCTGGAGACCAGCCCTTGATAGAGGTCAATTGCCTCTGTCGGCTCCACCACAGTCTCAAGTATCAATCCTAGGTGCTCTAAATTTCTTAAAATATTGTTATGCTATTTTCTTGTTTTGTTTTGTTGTGTTAATCAGATATTGTATGTTTTTTTATGAGAAGTGGAAATAAAAGAAATGAAGAATAAAAACCTCTAATACACAAAGAAAAACACAAGGACAATGTAAACGTCTGGGTACCTTCTTCATATACCTTTATTGCACTGTATAACTTTTTTTTTGTTACGCTCACAGTAATAATTTCATCACGATGGCGTCCATCTTAATTTGTGTAGGCACTTAGAGATGGAAGTTCGCACTGACACAGTAATCAAAATAAGTTGATCAGGGGGGGGGGGGGGTGTTTCATAAAGATCCTAAGTCGAATTTAACTCTAAGTTGGACTTAAAAAATATGGAGAGCCATTTGTAGCCTTAAAATCAAATATATTCAAAAGCAAAAAATCCAAATATTTTAGAATTTTTATAGATTCCACATCTGGAACATGAAATCTCCTTGATAATAGAAAATACGAATGAATTGCATCTACATTCTATGCCTTTTAAAAATAACTTTTAAAATGTTGTTTCATAGATGCTAATGGCTTTCAATAATTGTTTAGTCCAACTTAGAAAAAAATTCAACATAGGATCTTTGTGAAACGCCTCACATGTCTAGTTCTAGATGAGATCCATCTTGAGATAGATTACAGATTATCTTTAAGGGGTATCTTTGCCTCAGATTCTAAACAAAATCCTAGATTTAACTCATGCTGCAATCATGATTATAAACCTTTAGGTCAGACAGGAATCCCATGACTTTTACAAGCCGATCGCCTGTCTGATTATCAAGATATCTATGTTTGGAATTCGAAATTTCAAAAACCGTTTTCCCAACGGTATTTTTTTAACACTAGCCTACAGTCTACTAGTAGGTAAAATGAGTATGGTAAAACCGGTCACTCAAAGATTTTTACTTTTTGAGGCACTTCATGATAATTTTGAAGCGCAATTTGCTTATATAGGGCTTCAATATTACACCATATCACAGACACTGATAACACGTAGGGCCATGCATCTCAGATGTGTTAAACTGGAAACATTGTTAAACAATGCATTTAAAGCAACAACAAGAAAGAGAGAATGGAGGGCGTTCTCTCAATAACATAAAGGGCGTTAACTGACGTACTTTAAAAATGAGTTAACGCCCTTCTGGCTCTCAACGGGCGATATGGCTAACCCGTTGGCTACTGAATTATCTAATTCCAATAGGCTTCACACAGGGACCACCAGGTTCCAGTAAGCAATGGGTTAAAATCGACCCTCAGTTCATAACAGATTGAAGAGTCAGAGTTCCAAAGAGAATGGTAATCGCTAAGTGCACGTCTTTAAAAACAAATGGTCTAAATGTTCTACATGTATTATATTCTAAAATTGTGTACCTTACTCGGTTGGCGTTGTTTACGTTGGTGTTGTACATTTACGATATTGGTCCTGATCAACAGGATCAATTAAAGCCGCACTAAAGCAGTTACAAGCAGCGAGGTTACTCTCTAAAATCAATCGCAAGTTTGCAGTCTCTTATCTCTTATGTACATAGTTGCGATTGATATCAACTCTTAAGATGGGGTCCTGGAATAGACTTGCAATCATATGCCTTATTCCTTAGCATATCATATCAAAATAATTGCACTTAAAAGGGTGGGGCTATGGGGTTGAAGGGTGGGAATATTGGGGGGGGGGGGTGACTAATGCCCCTCCCATATTTTGACCACTTTCTAAGTCCTAAAATAGCGCTGGAAAAAACTACCATTACCTCTGCGCTTGTAACGTTCTTGGAACGAGGTTGTTCAACCATTTTTGTTTCGATTTTTGCTCCCCACACACAAATAACTGATGAGGCCCATGAAGCTATCAATAAAAACAAATCCAAATTATGTTTGACGGTTGAAAAGTGGGCAATGTAGGGGGGGACGGCAACTCCTATGAGTAACATGTCATTATATCGTAATTCATCAATAATTTCCGAAAATCTCTTCATATTGTCTAGAATTCTTTAAGTAGCTTATGTTGTCATGCAATTCTGCTTATATTGATTTATACTTTATTATATTTAAATGGTTATATGAATGCATAACTTGAATTATCATTGAATACTTCTCTAATTAGTGAACTAATCCTGTCTTTAACACACTGAATTATAAATAAATCTTAATAAAAACTTATTCTTGAAAATTCAACCTTGATTATTCAAACCCTCCCCCTATTCAATGATGAGAGAACGAAGATAAATTGTGTATTGTCATATTGATAAATACATGAAGTGAAAATAACAAATTGACATTTAATGCTCAAAACAAGTTTCATAGTCCGGATACTCAGCTACCTTCTACTAATAATTGATAATTACTTTGAATATCACTAGGTTAAGATGATGACGATAACAGAAACAATAATAATCAATTTCTTGATATTACAATTCTAATCATTGTCGTGATTATTTGAAGAAAAAAAAACTACACAGCAATTGATGAATAATTATAAACGTAATATAAAAATAAAAAGTGATATAACCAAACCGAACATCCGTGACTGGACTATGCACTTGGTTAGATACAAATAAACAATATTCCTATGTCGTGTTCAAGTTATAACATAATGATATGGCAGTGGATATGCAGTTACTCTGATAACTTGTACAGGTATAATGCTCCGCCGAATATTGCCCCGTGGTTAATATCCTTCAGCGG